AAAATCCCTCAGCTCACTTTGTGTGGCTTCTGCCAATTATATCTGGGGCCAGCGAGCTTGGAGCTCTCTGGTTCAAGGTTCTTTGGTGAGACCGTCACGGGGAAATTCAGAGCAGCACCATTTATTCTTGCTGCCACCTTTGGTCTTGGAGCAAAACTCAATCGTTCGGTCTTCAGGGGGGGAATCAAATCCCAAATCAGGCTGCTAACCTTGCGTGGCTACTGTCGAATATATCTGGGGCGACTGAGCCTGGAGCGCTATGATTCAAGGTTTTTTAGTGAGAGTGTCATGGAGGAATGCAGAACTGACCCATTTTATCTTGCTCTCAACTTGGCTCTTGGAATAAAACTCAATTGGTTATTCATTCAAGAAGCTTGCCTCATAAAATACACAGCTTACATTGTGTGGTGTCCGTAGAGGATATCTTGGGAGACTAAGCCTGGAGCCTTAGGGCTCAATTTTCTGAGCTAAGTGTTAGCGATGGATGCACAGCAGCAGCACTTTGTATTCTTGGTTGGTTTTCTTTAGGTGCAAAACTCAATCGTTTGCTCTTTCAGGGGACTCAGCTCCAAAATCACTTAGCTCACTTTGCCTGGATTCTGTTGATTATATCTGGGGCGAATGAGCTTGGAGCTCTATGTTTCAAGGTTCTCTTGTGAAGCCTATATGAGTGGATGCAGAGCAGCACCAGTTTGTCTTGCTGTCACATTCGCTCTTGCAATAAAATGCAATTGGTTATTCATTTAAGAGGCTCAGCTCATAAAATACGCAGCTCGCATTGCGTGGTTTCAGTAGAGGATATCTTGGGAGACTGAGCCTGGAGCCCTAGGGCTCGACTTCCTGAGGTGAATGTTAGGAGTGAATGCAGAGCAGCAGCACTTTGTATTCTTGCCTGCTTTTCTCTAGGAACAAAACGCAATCGTTCACTCTTTCAGGGGACTCAACTCCAAAATCACTCAGCTCACGTTGTGTGGCTTCTGTCAATTATAACTGGGACGAGCGAATCTGCAGTCCTATGGTTCTAGTTTCTTCGATGAGCCTGAAACGCACTAATACCGAACAGCACCAGTTTGTCTGGCTGTCACGCACCCAACATCTAACCCCAACACCTAACCCCTAACCCCTAACCCCAACACCTTTTCAGTGGGCTGTTTTTCCAATGGCCTTTTTGTTTTTAAATTAATCAACAAAACTATTAAAAAGAATCTTCTAGCACACATGTAGTGAGAGTCTCCTGTCAGCTGCAACTAGAAAGGCAGGAGGACTCATCTTTAAGGTCTCTGAAGAGCTGTGGGGTTTTTCATGCCTGTATCTAAGGCCCCGGTGTGTTTTGTGAGGCAGGCAGTATGGCTTTTAAAGCCACAGGCTAAAACCTGCTCTACTAAAGGCCATGGAAAAAATATACTGGAGAAAATGTGGTTATGGTGTTGAAACAAAGAATGGAAGACATGAACAAAGTGTGGGAATGCAGCCAAGAGAACAGAATTAATAGAGAACAGAAGAGGAAGAGGAGTGATGAAGTGAACAACCACCAGAGGCATCCAACGAGCACCAAGACAGGCCAAAAGAAGAAGAACTAACAGTAGACGGCAATAAAGACTGTAGAATGGGAAGTGAATGAGTATGTAAATAGTTCTTAGAATAGGAGGAGATACAATAATTATTTAGTGGAAATGGGGTAAGAATGTGTGTAGTGACTGCACAGAACCAGAGCAAAGACAAAGCCAGGGGAGCACACGCTGTGGGAATATCCCCGTGTGTCTCCCGGTGCTGCCATACGGAACACCTGCTTAATTAAAATCACATTGGCTATCGAGTTGGAATTCTTGACCCTTTGAATCACCGAGGAGATGCAGCCAGGCCCTGGAAGGCGCTCCTGGAATTGCTCCTGCAGCCGGGCTCCGCTGCCAGCCCAGGGCAGGGCTCAGCCCCACTGGGCTGCCAGTGCCCCCCCAGCACCTCCTGCTGCCCATCAGCAGTTTCTGGACAGACGTTCGGCCCCGTCTCCCTCCCTTGGGATCCCCACCTGTGCGCGGCAGGTCCAGGCAGCCTGCGACCTCCCTAGCCTGGAGATCCGCTCTCTCATGCGCACAGGCAGGCTCTGGCTGCCCTATCGCGCAGCCTGTGGTGGGAAGCAGACACCCTGCAGGCAGGAGGAGGTGGAGACACGGGATAGAGGTGGCTGCTTTGGGACAGCACTCCCTGCAGCCAAAGGTCCCCAACAAAGGACACACAGGAGTCTCTGGGAAAGCGTGGGAGCAGGGCTGCCCACTGCTTTGCTGGTGGGTGTTTGTGAGTCTGGAGGGATGGATGGGAGGAGTGGAGGGAGGGATGGATGGATGATAAATGGGTGGATGGATGATGGATGGATGGAGTGATGGAGGGAGGGAGGAAGGGATAGATGGATGGAGAGAGGGAGGGAGGCAGGAAGGGAGGGAGGGAGGGATGGATGGATGATGGATGGATGGAGGGATGGATGGATGGATGGATGGATGGATGGAGGGAGGGATGGATGGTTGGATGGATGGACGGAGGGATGGATGGATGGACGGGTGGGTGGATGGATGGACAGATGTTTTATGGAGGACAGATGGATGGACAGATG